AGTGGAATGGTAACTTTCCTTTATTTATAGACAAGAATAGCATTATGAACAGTAAGAACACTACAGAGTTACGTCTTAGTACTCCTATATGCTTTACTATTTATCCCTTATTTATTATACTAGTTTGAATAGTATTCATTTGTCTCATAAAAGACTGTACCTTACTTAGCGAAAGAAAATAACAATAGTCGCATGATTATATTATATTATTTTTTCTTTCTTTATGATAAACAATAAATAAATTTAAACGCGGATTTTTGTTTATTTGTTTGTTTGATACCTTTTGGCACCATAAAGCTTGAACTAATCGCCATGAAATTTGCTATATACGTAGTAATTGAGATTGAGAATAGACAAAAGTCAAATATATAAAAAAAAAAAACAGAATGTGGCCGTCTGTCTGTTTGTTTACGTTTTCACCACAAAATTAATAAAATATGGCGATAAATGCTTTTACACCTACGGGCATGAGCTACTTTTTATATAAAAAATGCAGACGAAATTGCAGGCTAAAACTGGTATGTAATAAATGGTCTATTAAATAATAATAGACAGTAAATAAAGTTTTACTACAAGCGCCATGACCGCAGCATCACGTCACACGAGTCGCACCAGCTACTGCATTTGCATATGACCACCTTACTCTTTTTATTCATATTCTATTCTCATGAAATAATATAATAGTAACCTTAGACAATTCACACAGCGCCAAGCTAAGTAGCACTACTGTAATGTGTACTAGACAACTGTTAAAAAAAATTACGTATTTGTAATACGTACCTAATTATATTTTTTAACAGTTGTCTGGTACACATTACAGTAATAATTTTTAAATACATACATAATATAGATTGAAAACACCCAGGTCGATACAAACATTCATACTCATAAATATAAATATTAAAACCGTCCGAGGAATCGAATACGCGATCATCGAAAGCAAAGCGGCGTGCTAAACGGTTAGACCATCGCAGCCGTCTAATATGAAGCGATAATAATTAAAATTTATAAAAAAATGTTGCTTACTAACTAAATAATTAATTACTATTACAATCGTCAATGTCAACATAAATTAACATGAAATTAAATATTCACTGTTGTATTATTTAATTACGACTTAACATTGCAATTATAATATTTTATTATTTATCGCATTTTGACTACATAATTTAAGTACATTAGAAATATTATTAACAAAGGAGGACTTATCTTTAAAAAATGTTATCGTACAATTTTAGAACATAAAAATGACATATTGAATTAAATATTATACAATTTTAATAATTAAATATATACAATTTCAATTTATTAATTATTTCTATTTTTATTTTAATTATTATTATTATAAAATCTTATATATAAAATTCTCGTGTCACAGTTTTCGTTCCCATACTGCTCCGAAACGGCTTGACCGATTCTCATTAAATTTTGTGAGCGTATTGAGTAGCTCTGAGAATCGGCTAACATCTATTTTTCATCCCCCTAAATGTTAGGGGTAGTCCACCCCGTTTTTTATTTTAAGGCTAAACAACGTTTGCCGGGACAGCTACTATTATATAAAAAATAACTCGTCTTCCTCTCTTCTCTTCCGCTTGCTGTGCCCAACAGGGTCCATAATTAACCTTTTTTTGAAATTTACCTGTCTATCTATCTACTGTAAAATTATGGAATGCAAAGCTTAAATAAATAAAGAGCTTTCTCCCAGTCAACCAATTGCAGCGTAGCATACGGAGTGAGTGCATTAAATTGTGCACATGTATACGTAATAATTTTAAGAAATATGAAGAAGTAATATAATTAATTAAAAATTAACAATACTGTTCAAAATTTGTTTGTTAATTGATATTGTATTGGCGCTAGTATGAGTATATATAAATAATGATATAATATATAAATATATATATATACAGAACCTATGTGATAAGAATCAATAAATATTGATGCATACTACAAATATATAATGATACTATTACTATATACTATTCACATATCGGTAGAAAATTAGTATGATTTTAAATACTATTAATATTTAAAGTATGAGAACGTAAATAAATAAAGCCGGAAGTGTATATAAGTTAAATATATATAAAGCGACGAGGTTTACCTCTTTTCAAATTGGGGTCAATTTAAAGTTTATGATTTCATTGTAATCACGTTTATTTTATTTTGTTGAGTTATACCACAAATTATTTTTTATAACAACTATTACAATAATGTCAAATTTTATAAAACGGTCTAATCCTTTTCGTTTATGTGGTTATGGCGATAATGAAATAAATGCCAGCTAATTAATAAACTTAATACAATTATTATTTCAATAAAACAATAATTAATATTCGCACCAATTTCCTATAAATTGATTTTTACGCATGACTGACTCCATAATTAACTGCCGAAGTGTCGACTTATTAACCTCTGATCGTGATTAGGTTAGGTTAGGTTCACTTAAATCGGAAACGTGTTTCTTAATTGATATTTTCCTGTTATGGGCTAACCGTGGGAACATAGATGGCTCCCACGCTAATTACGTTTGCTTTTATGCCAATTGCCTTCGCGAGTCAACTGCGAGCGCATCATCAATGAAAATTTTCATCAATGAAACCACAGAGTCAGCTATTGTTGAATTTACAACAAGGTTGTCAATTTGCAAAGAATCTCTGTCGACGCAGCATGAGATTGTGATTAACCACTGTTGATGTTTGGTGTACATTTACTACGATAGCGGTGTCGTATTCGTGGCGCCACTTTGCTTGCATGTTTTCATTTCTACAACTACAATACTACTTATTCCCATTTCTAACTTTCGACATAAGGTTATTGCTAATTAGTCGTAGCATTTTATCGGTAACTGAGTACATATTGCGCCGAGGAAAATATTCGTGATAGAGTGCCAGAAAGAGCGAACAACATTATACATTTTATTTAAAAAATATTATAAGGAAAAATAGTTGTTTGTTTGTAAAGGATAAACTCATTTTAAGCGATTAAAAAAATCTTAACTAAGGAAACCTACATTATAAACGAGTAACATATGATGCAACGCCACGCGTAATACCTAGTAAACAATATTTTAATTGTTACGCCACCGACAAAACTTGTGGCTGAAAATATAGGAGATAAATTAATTATGCATAATTCAGTCTATTCTATATTTGTGTTTAATTAAATAAATTAATTATATTACATTATTTCCATGAATTTTCTTAGTTGCGGAAAATATGGCGCGAAATATCCGTAGTGTGAATCAGCTTTAAATAATATAATTTCATAAATAAATAAGTGTATAATGAAAGAGCTTACTGTAACCTTTACAAAACTGAGACGTAATCAATGAAAAAAAAAAGTGTCTAATGTCGTATAACTATAAATGCACGATACCGTACAAATAGTAAGGTATGTCAACGCCTGTGGCAAAATGTAGTGCTTCAGGATGTCAAGGACAAAAGAAAGAATTAACGGAGTCTTCAACACCGTTATCTTCGTGAAGTGATAATTTTGTACGTCATGAAACTGTAAGAAACGGGCCTAACGTTAAGTAACGTATGGGTAAAATACATGCCTATCCACTAAATATTAACGTAAATCAAATTAAAAAACAACATACCTATTTATTGTCCCAGATTAAAAGTTTCGGTTGCCATTTCTTAATCCCTAAGCTGGTAAATACAAGTAGACAGCTTTAATCATTAATTTTTATTTACATAGACCACCACAGAGCAATGGCAGATCCCATCCCAGTTCCTGCTAACCTATTCTTAGATTTATTTGCATTACGTATGACAAACTGGCAGAAATGTCAAAAGCATTCAGCATTTACGTCAAAAGTATAACTTAGCAGTATATTAGTCTGCATTCTTGATCAATATATTAATTAAAATATGCTTTTAGCATATTTGCATATTTCATATTGTTATTGCATATTTATAAACTACATACCAATTATAATGATTTCTGTGAAAATATAAAATACGAGTTATATTTCGTAAGGATGGAAGTGTCAAATAGTGAGTATATGTGAGTATAGGTACATATTAAAAATGTATCAAAAAGATTTTATTAAAAATGGTATATATGTACATCTCCTGTCGTGAAGTGTACGTTATTGACTTTTAGTCTGACGGAATTTTCCGCGAAGGGAAACTCGTTTAACTATAAATCCCATGCCCATCACATATATTGCCCATTTTAATATTAATAAAAGCTGGTTTGGCATTTGATTAAAAAAAGCGGATTTGGAAGAAAAAATAATCGCCAGTACGCTAGTGTCACCTCCAAATAACATCTTGTTATATACGAACTATACCGTCTATTTATTGTTATCTACCTAGATGCATACGATATTCGGCAAGTTGTACAGCTAAATTTACTATGAAATAAACAATGGTTGTAAACAATGCATCTGTCGCATCATATGCAGTTTAACGGAGGAAATTACCAAATGTGCACAACAGTTTGTCATAAAAAAATTGTTTGCACCAAATTTATATATTATACCTACTCGTGTTATTTCTTTAATATCAGAAGTCATTATGCAATCTATATAATTATATTTAGATGTTTATACGCCCGGAACCCTGACCATTCCCCTATTGCTGGCCGTTACTGAATCCTTTTAATCCATATTGATCTGTGTATTTAAATATATTTTTATAAATATTATGCCCTTCTTAGGCCACTTTGTATTCGGTTTACTGGAGAAAAGGCCAATATTGCTCATATTGTCCCTAATTGTAAAAAATACTCCATGTTGTCTAAACTAGGAAAAATCGGGACAGACTGTTAGTTACAAATAAAATAATTAGTAGTCGTGGTATATATATCTGTGTAATATATGTTTGTTTTTAATACTACAGTGGTGGTAAAACAAGCATACTACCCATTTGATGGTAAACGATTACCGTAACCTGAGACAGAGTGTTACGTACGCGTTGGCGATCCTTAAGCTTGTACTTTATTTGCAGCAGTACGAATACAATTTGAAGGATAACTTGTTGTTTCAGCTCGGGATATGCGGCCGGCACGTGGGGGGCGCGGCGCTGCGTAATGCGGCGCGCGTGTGATGGGGCTCCGTGGCCGGTGGCGGCGTGCGCGCTGCTGCTGGCGTGCATCGCCGCCTGCGCTGCCATCGAACAACGGCAACATCTCGCCGAAGGAGGTACATTACATACACTGTATACCTACATATCATATAGTAACAAAGCTACTATACGAAATTGACAAAATGAAAAATATCCCACTACATTTTAATGGATGATAATGGTATTGTGCATACGCCTTCGCTAACACTGCGATTTACGCTAACGGGGCACCAGTGACACATTCACCAGCAATTTACAATGATGGTTTCCAGGAGAACCGCCAACCTGACATTGTTAGCAATGGGGTTAACAGTCCACATTACTAACAATCCCCTTTCCCCCATCTTCATTACAATTGTAAGTCTAGGTTTGTGCAAATAATATAAAATTAATATAGAAGACCGGCCGGGAAATAAGTTGTCACTTTCGAGAGTAGTTGCTCTCAGAGCAAAGGAGTACGTTTCGAGGGTTTGTCTTCATTACTTTAAATATAGAAGGCCTTATTTATGGCCAAAACACATAACAGATTTAACACAGATCTTGAAAGTGAATTGTTCCGAATTAGCTTATCAATCGTCTGCCATTTTAATTTATTTAAGAAAGACGTAACGCTTTGTTAGCTTACCTAACCTACACCTGTTACACATTGTAATATGTATAAAGTAGAAACAATGTTAGTAGAAATAATAAGATAAATATTTTTTTATATAGATCGATTGACGTCTTATTCATTGTTATGTCCATTGCAAATTAAAATAAATAATTTACACAAAAAAAAGAATGATGTCGGTATTGTTTATTTTATATTACATGCGAGCGACTGCATGGCCTTGTTTTTGAAATCTTAATTTTTTTATCAAACCGCAATGTCATATGTTTGATGGTATATAGTAATATTCGCCAATATACATATTACATATCTCACTAAATACATTGTGATATCTTTTTTGTGTTGCTTTTCCTGAGAACTGCGTTGTCATCCATACCCTATAGTTTTACTGCCACGTCTCAACCTCTAAACCGAAATTAGTTTCTATTTATTTGTTAATTTTTTATTGCACTAAACATGTAATACAAGAATTATAACAGAGTAATTGATGTACAAAAGGCGGTTTTATCGCCCAAGCAATCTCGTCCAGACAACCTTTGGGTTGAGAAAAAAAGTGACAGAAAGTCTGTAACTTTAGTGAACAAATCCAAATTAGCGATCTCATTATTTTATTATCCATAATAATATTATAAGATAATTTGAAAGTCTACTTCAGAATAGAATAAAATATATTCCATTCCTACACAACTGGCTAATTTATTATTCACTAGTGACCTGTCCTGACTTTGCACGGGTGGATTTTTTAATTTCTCCGGGTGTATTATACTATAACACGGATGTATTATACCTATAAACCTTCCTCTTATATCACTATTGCCGAACACTACATTAAAATCCGTTGTTTTAAAAGATGTAAGCGAACAGACAGCGGCGCCGACTTTTTCTTACTTATGTAAAGATTTTAATACTTAGAATGATTACTGCCTATTATTTTAAAATATATACAAGAAAAAGAAACATTTGAAGGGGAACACTCTATCTAGAGTTATTATACTCCTAGCGTGTGTGGGCTACACATAATACTTTCACTGTAATGTGTCAGTGTTTATATTCCATTCACTTATAAGTTATGAATAATCCAGGCCTTACTCGATAATAGTGTTATGAGTCGGCCAAAAATATGTATATGAGGTGTAGCCTCCTTTATTATTACGTGTAATACATATACACGATAAACATATAAATAGAAAATACTCATAATTCAAAACCAATATTTAATTGTTTTGATTACTAAGAAAAGATTTGGACGTGATAGCCCGCCAATTTTTATCTGATAGATAGGTACGCGTTTCTTTACACTTGTATGTTATCTGTAAGTACAATGTCTTTCATTATTTTCGCGCTAGGGGAGGCTAGGATATGAATAATTGAACGTTTAGACTTAGATTGAATAGAATTCACACCAATTAAAAAAGTTAATATACGTTCTTTGTAACTCCATAAAATATAGTCATGATTCGCTCTATCTCATTATATATCTTACTATATCATTCGATTATTACCTAAGTACCTACTCTCACATACCTTCACGACCGATATCAGAGGGAGTATTCAGGCGCATAGTGAAATGTGGATGTTCTGGTGAATGCAATATTTATCATGTACACATTGCGTTCGGTTTGTTTTGAATATCTCGGTTTAACTTTTGGTTTCATATTGGACCTTCCTGCGATCTGTTACCGTAAAGTCAGTCAAAAGTAAAAAAAATCATACAAAGATTTTATTATTTATAATATAATATTTATATATGCCATTTGATCTCAAGACCTTTTTGAATTCAGGATAGGTAACAACTAGGCCATACCCGTATCTTCTGACCTCTGATATTAAATGTTCTTTAAAAAGGCATATTTCTAATTCTATTTCTAACAGTGATTTCACTGAGATAGATATCCAATTATCATTATCACTTTTATCTTAAAACTCATGTCCTTCATTTTCAAAAAAGATTGTTCTGTCGTGTATTTAAATTGTCTGACATATTTTATAAAGATAATATTGTGCAAATTCTTAAATCAAAACAAACTGCATGTCCGCGCAATTGAGCATCGTCATTCAATGCTGATAAACTGTTTAACATTAACACAAACATAACATATTTCTTGAAACAAGCAGATAAATGATACAAATGTTGAGATGCCTACTGTTGTTCAAGCAATTTGCAAGTTATTATTTTAATAAAATATTCAACATTATATTAGATTTTGTTCCATAAAAACGGAATTCAATCGTGCCAAAATAAAGACAAGGTCAATACAGGAGTAAACTCTTTTCCAATACAAATCTATAAACATGATTGCAATACATCAAAATACATTCGGAATTATCGTACTTTATTCATAAAAATCTCAATGTACCACTGTCCGTTGTAAATATTTATACTTGTTGCAAAATGTAGGGTAACACAAGAAGGGATACTAGTAACGTTTTGTAATCGGTAATGCTTGATCTGTGATCGTCGATGGAAGTGGCGAAGATGGCGGACTTGCACTAAATGTCAGCAGTCAACAGTCAGCAGGGCGTGTTAGGCGATGGACATGAAGTGGGCACGTGTAAACAACGCTCTGTGCTCCGTTAGCGCGCCGGATATTAGCAAAAACTTCCGCGCGGCCGTTGATCCGGCCCCGACCCGCTGTGGGGCCACTCGTGGGCCAAAATTTTATTTTTATTTATATATATTTTTTACTATATCAGTACATGTGCTATTGAACCCTGCGCTGGCGTGTTCAGTATCGCGCCGCCGTTTAATCCGTCAGATAACGAACGGAGTGTTGTTTGTTTGTAATTCTCCTCCGCTCGACAGCCGACGATCTAGTGAGGCCTCGTTAGGAGGCGCCCCGAGTTATCTTCTGAACCGAACCAAATTCACTCGTCCATGTAATAAGCGTGTTGATATCGAACTTTGCAATTTGAACGCTCGTTTCTTACCTTCTACAGCTAATTACAGTTGACGTTGTAAAACTGCTATAGGTACATTATTACCTTTATATTTTATACTTATAAAATATATGTTTTTGTTTGCATTATACACTACGTACGTTGTTTATATTACAGTATTTACAGTACAAATTGTAAATGCTATAAGGCATGTAATATGTTTATAACCTACATACATTATTTATCTATGTTAACTATAAAATATCCATGTTGGCGTACCAACTAATTAGTATATTATATACCTACTCAAAATTTCAGATATTATTAAATTTTACTTAGGTGGGTGGTCTTCACTACCTTCACATTTAGACATTACTCATTCTAAGCTCGATCCTACTTGGAGATTATACATACTCTCACCATCATGATCCAATATGTATAGTATTGAGAGAGAAGAAGCGACAGAGAGTAGTAGAATCGACAGAGAGTAGTAGAATCGAATACTCTGTGGTGTACGTGTCTAATTTGTTTTTGCCTACTCTAATTTGTGAGTGGCGTTTATATACTTACCTATCGATAAGTATGTGTATTTTTCTACAAGTAAACAAAACTTGCTCGACGCGGTAAACCCGACTATCCACTTTTCGTGTCGATACCTTAGGCGCCTCAAACTCACTGGTTTAGGTAACAATATAATTGTACAATATTATAGTTGCACAATTCAATTAGCTGTTTTTGTGGCAGTACAGTTTTATTGTGTGAATTGTTTGTATGTAATTAGCGGCTAAAATTATAATTGATAGTTTATGGAATGTCTCATACTTGCTAACTTTTAATCTATTTCAATTAGTGCTTTTGTCATAGAGTTGCCACAAGCATTAAAAAATACTTGGTTAAGTTATATATTAAATCTGTCTTCCAATATTCTTCTTAGGTATTTCAGTTTTATTTCAACTTTGCGTTGATACATATTGAGTACAAATTGTTTTATAATATATTTTTATACACTTATTGTAGTGCATAAAAAATGTTGCAACAGTTACAGTGTTCATACAATTTGTAATTGTGCTAGGAATAGCGTTATTTCCAACAAATAGGGTTATAATTAATACATAAATACGTAACACATAAATTTGTTGACTATTCAAAAGTGCTTAAATTAAGTTTATTTGAATAAATTATTTTCTATTCTAATACACATTGTCGTGTTATAACATGGTCAATAAACTATTAACATCACTCGGCATTATGATTAGGCTGCATTAACAGAAGTCACGAGCAGAGTGTATAATATGTACGAAGCTATAAGTCTGCAAACTTCAAAAGAGATTTGGCGGAGGTTTTGTTGAACAATATGACGTTCGTCAAAACTCAATATCTTTATTGTCAACCTTTTCTTAATGAAGTTTTTTCCGACTATGTAAATAAGCAAATAACCAATCATTGCAGACAGATCAGTAGGGCACGCCCCATAGTCTGCGATGATTGGTTACTAGTTTGCTTTTAGTCTTTCAGATTTTGCACTGTGTATATTTATTTGGGGGCTTTGTACGGGTATTATTGATAATGAAGTTATGTGTTGGCAACAAA